TTTTCATTTAGAGTGATTGCTGGGCCGGAATTTCCCCTGGGCTAAGGGTTCGGAGCTCTTTTGATGAATGTAACGTTGCCTTTGAAAGAGGCCAAACTAAAGAATGAAGCGGGGAAAAAAGCAAAGGGCCAGACGTGTTCTTCCCTCCCCAAAATAGATGTGGACAAAATGCCTGTTAGGGTTCCAGTTTCCTTTAAATTCAGCAGCAGGTGCTGGGGGGGGGGTCTGCATAGGCCAGATATCTCCTGTTTCTGCTCAGTTTATTATTATTATTTTATTTCAAATCAATACTTCCTGTTTTTCTTCCTAGTGTTTATTTTGAGGTAGCTAATTTAAAACTCACCCAGAATGCACTGGGCTTGTTCGGGGATGTTCTGAAGATTTATCCTGACAGTCTACTTTCATTTTCCAGGGGGGGGGGTCCTTTTCGTGGTGGAGAACATTTTCTTTTTTTGCCAACCTGAGCTGGTTCTTGTTCTTGCCTCACACACACACACACACACACACGCACACACAGACATGCACAGAGATTTGGTATGGAGGATTGCATATGTGGGGGGTGAATCTTCACTCTCCTTTTGGATGGGAGTCGGGGGGCAGTTTCTGGGGGAGGTGGGAAGCTGAGCTTATAGGCAAGTTTTGGTGCGGGGGCTGGCAGCTTGATGCTACCCCACTGAAGAGCCGAAATAAGCCTGTATCTCCCCCCGATGTCTCTGTGCACGCAGGCGTGTGAACAGAGTGCAGTCTGTCTGTTTGAAGGGACCAGCGGGGAAATTAAATCACATTTACAGCCGGAATGAGCATTTCTGTGTCCGGTAGCTTTTTATTTTCCTCCCGTTCCTGATGAAACGCAGAAAAATGCTGCCTGTGGCCCCTGATTGGCTGTGTGGAGAGCGGCGTGTGAGCGCGGGCAGCTTCTCCGCCGAGCTCTGGCCCGGCTGGGCCTGCCTGCCACGTCCGGCTCTGGAGTGACCGGGGAGGAGGAGCTGCGTGATGCAGGCGTGAGAAGGAGTCAGATCGCAGAGCCGAAAGCCAACAGGGTGACGCTGACACAGCCCCCCCCCCCCCCCCCCCATGCAGAAACGGCAGGCCGAAAACAACGGTCCAGCATGGAAACGCATTTAGGGAGACGCTGGGGTGGGATTCTGCCTCCCTGGGTGACTGCTGTCCTACGCTGATGGGACACCCCGGTCCGGTCCGGTCCACTCTGGGGCTTCATACCAGGTTTACTTTGGGGGAGAAGGAAATCTAAATAAATGCTCTCTGTCCTTTTAAGGAGTATTTTCATCGTGTTTTTTGCTGACCGGTCCCTGCTGTTTATCGGCCAGTGATTTAAATTAATTGAATTGCGATAGTTTGACAAACAATATTTGTGCAGTTTGGGCTGAGGCCGGGCCGCTTCCCTCTGACTAAGGCCGTGTGTAAACACTGTCCCAAGGCTCTCTGCAGAGCTAATGAATGAATCACATAACACATTGTTTCAAATGAGGGTGTGAGAATACTCTGTTATGTCAGCTCGTATAATGGCGCCTTTCACCTCAAACAAAGCCCGCTTTGGCTCGCCGTTAACGTAGGAACTGCCCCCCCACTGCCGCTACCCCCCCCACCCCCACCCCGAAACCCTGTCCCCTTTTGATTATTTTCTTTCCTTTTTTCGTTCTTTAAGCCTTCCATGATAAATTGTGTTTTTGTTTCAGCCTGGTGCTAAATTTAGTTGTGCTCTCGCTGGCACAGGGAGGTGAGTAATCTGCGTGTCTGACCCCAGGGATCCCAGTATGGCTGACTTCTCCTTTCTTTCCCAGTGGCCCGTATTGCTTTTTTTTTGACTGCTGTACTTTTGATGCTCACCATCTGCATTTCCTTTCGGCCTGGGGGGGAGGAGGGCATTCAGGGACCTGACCCCCTCCAGTCAGACGGGGCTGCCCGGATCGAGTGTGGGCTGTAGTGCCATTTGGATGCTTTTTAAATCTTCTCTCCTCGATGCTGCTTATTTTCACCTGTATCTGTATGTTTGTCTTTGTTTCCCCGCAAGGGGAAGCTCAACTTCTGTAACTGCAGTCAAAAAACTTAATATTTCAAAAGTCTTGCATTTTGTTTGGTTATTTATGGTTCAGGTTAGGGCTGGGTAGGGGTTAAATTTGTCATGTTGGGAGTTTTCCCCATAGAAATGAATGGAGAGTCCCCACAAAGATATAATTACAGACCTGTATGTGTGTGTGTGTGTGTGTGTGTGTGTGTG